ATCTTTAGCTCCTTGGATTTGAAGTCAAAAAGTTTTAACATTTTTGTTCTGCTCAGAAGTGGAAAGTAATATAATATGATTTCATGCTTTATGCAAACAAGGGTCTCTTGGGCTCATACATATAATTGTTCACTAGTCTCGATTTCAATTAATATCTCTCCATAGAAAAGCAAAAAAGAGATGTTTTGTTTCAGACAAATCTAAAACACTGCATGAACTCACACTGAGACACTTCCCACACAATAAAATTTCAGAGCTAAACAAGTAGATCATAGCTGTATTTTCCATATTCATGAATATCTTCCTCAATAAATTTTTAGTGGAGCTAAATGCAAGATCTGTTTTTTAAAAGGCAGACCATAAGTGAGCAGATGCTGATTGATGCTACCATTTTCAACATATGTCTAGTGTGAACTTGGTTGCAGTATTTTCAGCGTAAGTATTATTTATAGAAAAAGCCATGCCAACACCATTATCGGATATGTAAGATTATGACAGAAAAAGGAGAATTGAAGAAATAACTTGCACTCATATAATCATGACAATAAACAAACAGAAAATAGAACAGGATTTTTTAGAGATCAAACTGATTTGTAAATGCCAGAGATAGGAAGTGATCGGACACCATTATTAATGTTCTATTTTTGCTTCAATTTGTGATTCAGATTGGACTAGGATAATTAATATTAGATATAAGAACATTAATGAATCCAGTTAGACTGAATGATTAACAGATAACTATCAGGAGTTATTAAAAGGTATAAGACTTTGTGAACTGTACGCTCACTTCATCAGATGCTCAAATACCTTTTAATAAAATTTGTTAGTCTGAAAAATGCTACGAGACTCCTGATGTTTGCCTACCACAGACTAACATAGCTCTCCTCCTGCACAATTTTAGACAGAATGTATATCACTAATACTTTCACTTTCTATCATCACTTGGTTTATGGTTCTCAGCTAAGAGGATTTATCTGATTTTAACTAGGTTTTCATTTTATTTATAAGTCAGAACAATTAATCAGTGGAAGAACCTGCCTTCAAAAGCTGTGAATGCTCCAACACTGGAAGTTTTTAAGAAGAGACTGGAAAGCCATTTGTCTGAAATGGTATAGGGTTTCCTGCCTGAGCAGGGGGTTGGACTAGATGACCTCCAAGATCCCCTCTAACTTTCATCCAATCAGTTCATACTCCCACTGGCAGTTAAAAGGAAGAAACAGCTATGATCACACGTTGCTCCTAGAAGCATGAAGCCGAAACACCAGCCTGAAGATGATGAATGAGACTTCGTCGAAACGTTGCCAAGACATTTCCAATTTGACGCGGGAGAAAACCCAAATAACCAAAGATAGATAGATAGATAGATAGATAGATAGATAGATAGATAGATAGATATATATATATATATATATATATATATATATATATATATATATATATATATATATATATATATTAAAGTTGGAAGGGAACTTGGAGGTCATCTAGTCCAACCCCCTGCTCAGGCAGGAAAGCCTATACCATTTCAGACAAATGGCTGTCCAGTCTCTTCTTAAAAACTTCCAGTGTTGGAGCATTCACTGCTTCTGGAGGCAGGCTGTTCCACTGGTTAATTGTTCTAACTGTCAGGAAGTTTCTCCTTAGTTCTAGGTTGCTTCTCTCCTTGGTTAGTTTCGATCCGTTGTTTCTTGTCCTGCCTTCAGGCATCTTGGAAAATAGCTTGCTCCTTATTTTTTGTGGCAACCCCTAAGATACTGGAATACTGCTATCATGTCCCCCCTCGTCCTTCTCTTCATTAAACTAGACATACCCAATTCCAACAGCCTTTCCATATACATACATACATACACATATATTACTAATTTCATTAAAAACACGAATCCTGGGTATAATCATATTATAAAAACAAGCAAACACGAACACCAGGAAATATTTAAAACTAGAAACATTTAATCTAATGCCAAGCTTTTGTCAGCCAACTGCCGACATCATCAGGGCTTAAAACCGGTCGATGGGAGTCTCCTTTATAGTCCTGGTCAGTCTATGCACACGGCTCCTGGACCTCGTCATCAGTCCTACTTGATTGGGCTGCATGTTGGTTATATTCTTGATGTTAACTGATGCTGCCGCTCCGTTACTTGCTCTGCTTCCTCCACTCTCCTTCTTCGTGCGTATGTTGTTATCTATCTCCTCGCTACAGGCTCCTACGTTTGGTACATTCCTTCCCCCTCCTTTTTGGCCGTTCGTTTCCTCCGTGTTTTCCCAGTTACTTTTACTCCCTCTGTTAGGCTGTGCGCTGGGTATTCCCCTCTCATCTTTACCCCCGATATGTTTCCCATGTATTCATGGCCATGTCCTATACATACATCACCTCCTATGATTTCCACCCCCTCTTTCTCATCTCTGATGCTCATTACGATGTCATTCGTTGGGCAGTCTGGAATCTCTGATGTAAGGGTTTTTTGCCGGTGTGTTCTGGCCTTTGTTCTTTCATTGGGAGGTGTTGTTGTTCATCTTGGATGTCTTAAGGGATCTTGGAGTGTTGGAGTTTATTCTCCCGTTCAACAGCTCTCTTGCTCTTTTGGAATGTGTGCATACCCCCAGGGAAGGGAGTTCTGTTGGTTGTTCATGTATTCGAGTTTTCAATCTCTTGAACACAAGTTGGCCATCAAAAGGTGTGAACAGCACTCACAAGTGTAGGCGCATATGGCTGATTTTCTAGTTTTAAATTTTTCCTGGTGTTCACATTTGCTTGTTTTTATTATATGTATATATATATAAAATAAATATATTTATGGTTATATATATATATATATATATATATATATATATATATATATATATATATATATATATATATATATATAAAACCAAAAATGCTATATTAAAATTTCAGTCTCATTTCCCTGAACATTTAAATATTATTAAGATAGTTACTATGTTTAACTGTTTTAAATCAGAAGCCTATGGCCAACATTACATTTTGATGTAATTTTCATTCAGCAGCAAAAATACTACATCAGAATTGCCTATAAAAGGCCAGGAAAATATAAATATGCCAGCTTTTCCAAATATTTCTTAACCAAACTCTCTCATTAAGGTCAATAAATACAGAGATGAATCAGCTGCTAAAATAGGATATTCATATAAAACCTCTGCAGATATAAGATGCAGCTGGGAAGGAGTTTTGTAGTCATTAATCAAATACTCATAAGACATTGGAGTGACTATTAACATCAGCATTTAGTACCAAAAGAAAACTGTAATCTATTTGAACTTGAACTCAGTATTTTGTTTAAAAATAGTGAGTAAGTATTAAAACAGCTTTTACAGCAAAACATTGAAGGTGTTAAAGATACCACTCATTGTTCCTTCAGAAGAAAAAAAAAACAAGCCACAAGAGTAAAGCATTTTCAGAACATACAGAATAGAAAAATCCAAACACCATTTGTTTGATTATTAATGAAGAAGAATGATTCTTATTAACAGAAAAGCAATTTTGAGAAGGAGAGAGAAGCAACTGAATGGAGACCCACGTGTTGATTTAAATGAGTGAGTTGTGTTTGCTTGCAACTTTGCCAATGACTTGAATAGCTGCAATTCCAATAAATTATAAGAGTAGGGGAGATTAGTTACAAATATAGCCTTACAAATTTATTAGATAATAATTAAACCCAAAGAGGTGGGAAATATCAGTTAATCTTTAGGTGGCCAACATAAAGCACTTGGAGAAAAAAAATTGTAGAAAATGCTGTACAAACATCTCAGTAATTTTATCATCTGTTAACCATTTTACAGTGAAATGTAGTTTTGCAGAAGTTGTTGCCAAGCACTACATCTTGCAAACTGTCCAATGAAACTCTCCTTGCAAAGAATTCTGGGATTATCATACCAAAGATTTATTACAAAGCAGCTTTTTAATTCATATTTTTTACTATTTTGGATGAACCTATGGTGCATTCATTTCATGCAGTTGAAAATTAATGTCAAAATCTCCTGATTTGCATTTTGGGAGAATTAACTGAACCTATAACTATAGACTATATAAGAAACAAAGAAATGCTATGATGGCTAAAAATTACTCCTAAACTAATAACTTTACTATAGTTGTCCAAGTAAAGATTTTGCTGTAAATCATTTCCCCACAAAATCATGGTGATTTGTTATTGGTCTGTAAAATTTTAAGAAAATAGTCTTTTTTTCTGTAAGAAGAAATGTCACCTGAGAAGGCAACCTAAATTAGAAACATTGGTGAAAACAATTATTAAGAATGAAATTAATGCATAAAATCCAGTGCCTTTAGCTTAAACCAGAAGCATCTCAACTACAGATTCCTTAACTAAAATTGTATCATTATTAAAATCTTCATAACATGTAATGTGCATATCTAAGCATTTGTGGAAATTGGAGCAGATTTAGAATAAAAAGAATAAGGCTTTGTTTTCCATCCACATCATCCAGTTTGTGATTGCTGGAAAACAGCTAATCTAAAAAGCCAGAATTCAGATATAAAACCATAGTTAAAACAAGCCAAGATTTGTAAGGAAACCGTCTTGATTCAAAACTCTGCTTTACTGGAAGAAATAAAGTACTGTATATCTTTTTGGGGATTGAACATCATGCCAACTCTACAAAGAAACAATTTCATTATTGCTTTGCAAAATACAGACACTCTTTGCAACGCTCACAAACCAGGGAACTTCAGGACACAAAGTCCTTTTTCTGGGTCTGGAGAGTTTATCTAAGGCTACAACAAAAATGGAATTTGGGGAGGGGGGCAGTCTGTTTTTCTACAAACTTTGCTTTCTTCACCATACCTCCAAGTTGCCCAAGGCAAGAACATTCTAAACATCAACCTGCTTACAGTTTATCCTCCAGGTACTAGTTTAGCCATGTATGATATAGTTACTCATCAAAACCACACTATGATGAAAATGGAGCCAGAAATAAATAAATAAATAAAATAAAATAAAATAATAAAAAAGAAGAGTCCACCTTACCTGGCACTTGTTCTGGCTTTATTCAGAGCTTTGCTGAGAACTAGGGATGGTGCTGACTGTCGTCTTTGGGCCAAGCTCTTCATTTTCTGCTAAAACATCAAAACAAAATTAAACATGAGCATTTTTAAATTTTATTTTATTATTAAACTTCTATGCAGCCTATCTCAGGGAGGCAACTCTAGGAGACATTTTTTTATAATATGGAAGGAAAAATCTAAAAATACAAAGAAACAAAATCAGTTTCATTTGAAGATGAATTTAGGAGAGACAAGTAGAAAACTTTTCTCAGTCCAAGGAAAAGAGAAGGAGAATTCTTTAGAATATTACGAATTATCTAGATTAGGAGCAAAAAGGTTAGTCCATGGTACCCCCACTGTCTTCTTCATTAACTTATTTTTCCACTGGGGTGGCCTTTATATTTTATCCCCCAAAATTTCAATTCTGCTCCACCCATTTTAAAATTGCAGCTTCTGCAGGAACAGCACTGTCTTCATAATCTGCTTCTGAATCCAGTTTAAGGTGTGTCTAGGACAAACTGCCACACCCAATTTACTGCAGCCAACTCACTACGGCCAGCTCACTGCAGTCAACATTGCGGTAAGACATATCGCAGTGGGACAAGAGTTACATCAATATTGAAAAAATGGTGGAACAGAATCATTAAAGAAAGGAGGGACAAAATGAAATGTGAATGACAAAAATTAAAATCATTTTTTAATTATTTTAAATAACTGAATTGTTGAATTGTCCTGTCACGAGTTGTCCCACAGCGAATTGGCTGCAATGAGTTGTCCCGCAGCAAGTTGGCCATGGCAAGCCGACAGCAAAGAGTTGACCATGGCAAGTTGGCTGCAGCAAGTTGCCTCATTCCGAATTTAAGGTGCTGGTTATCACCTATAAAACCCTTTATGGGCAATCCTCGACTTATGACCACCATTTCTATAAGTCATTGCAGTTATAAGTGAAGTCAGACCTTATTTTATGGCAATTTTACAGCGGTCATTAAGCATAACACCACATCCATTAAGCAGATCACATGGTCATTAAGCAAATCACATGTGTAAGTGAATCCCCAATGGGCATTTTTTTCCTGGAAATCAGAAAAAAGGTCAAAAATTGCTATCAGGTTACCACAGGATGCTACAACTGGTTGTAAATGGAAGCCACTTGCCAAGCGCCCGAATTACAATTACATAACCGCAGGATGATATGATGGTCATGAGTGCGAGCACAGGTCACTTTTTCCAAGGCCGCTGCAACTCTGAACCATCGTTAAATAAATGGTTGTAAGATGAGAACTACCTGTATGTCATGGTCCTTGTATCTGAGACAACCTGCTCAAGTAGAATCTGTCATTCAATACAAGCAGGCCCAAAAGGAATAATATAGACTCTACCCTCTGGCCAAAAATGAATATATTATTGTGGATTCTACTCCCCAGGAAGACAGGAGGACTGGGGCAGCAGAGGCAGGATTTCTCAATCAAGGTCCATTCATTCTGGGACAGCCTGCCAAACTAAGACAAGAAGGTTTTTTCCCTACAGTATTGCCAGTGAAAAGCGCTAGCAAGACAACTTTGTGTAAGGTATTAAAGAATGGGGCATAGATGACCAGTAAGTGGCTGGTTATAAGAGTCTACTGCAATGTATAGTCTATAGTAGAATACCTAACATTTTTTACTATATGTTGATTTTATGAAATTTGGATTTGTCCATTTTACAGTTTTATTGTTTCACTTTCAGCCTTAGATGGAGGTAACATACTAAATAAATGATGACACAGTACTTAATATACAAGCAATAAACTATAATTAAACTTATTTTAATTAACAATATCACATTCTTTTTAGTTTTCCTCAGGAAGATTATGCTTGTTATAACTTGGCTCGCTCTTAATTTAATTTAATTAAGGGCAGTTCTATTTCATACTTGGGCCAATTCAACCATTAACAGAATCAGCACAAGTTGCATCAGTTGAAACAAGGTCCCTCTGCGGATTTGTTTTTTAGTATAGGCAAGAGAGCTAATGGATGCACCTAATAACTGCTTACAAAAGCTGCAAATGGATTTTAGCTGGAAGAACTTCTCAAAAAATTAAACTCAAATGACAAATATTAAAAGGGAAGTATAAAATGCAGGTTAAAATTTTCCAGTTTTCCAATTCAGACACTGCACATTTGGTAGCTATTCTGAAGGTTTTACCTCAGGACACTATATAAGTTAATGTAATAAACTCGTATTTATTTTGTGATGTTTTTATTGTTTTTAATTATTTTAACTGTTTTATAGTTTTAGAATGGCAACCCCCCCTCCCCCCAAGTGACTTGGTTGAAATGAGTGGCTGTAGAAACTGAATAAATAAATAATCAAACAAACTAACTAAATATTGATGGCACTTTCTATAAAACAGGCATGCAAAAGAATACATCCTCAAAGAGATTCTCATGCAATAGGTTTCACTCATATTGGCTAGTGAACTAAAAACATTGATAAGCTATTTTTAGAAGAAATATTTATAACACAGATGGCAAGCAGCACCTTTAGATGCAGAATAAGGATAAGTTAGGTTTATATATGTTTCATCTAAATAAAACATAAGAAGTATAGGTAGCCCTTGGTTTATGACTCTAATGGAGTTTGCCCACTATGGTCCTAAGTCTTGAGGGTGGTAAAGTGGGCGATCACATGACTGGTCCAATTTTACAACCCTGTTTTTGCAGCAGTCATTACACAAATAATCATCATCATCATCATCAAGTGAATCTGCAGTTATTAAGCAAACCCGGCAGTAATTAAGCAAATACATTAATCATTTTTGCCTAAAACCAGAAGTAAACACTGTTTTTTAGCAAAACACTGTAAATTGTGATCACATGAACACCGGACACTGAAAACAATTATACCTAGAGCTGACTGCCAAGTGCTCAAAATGAGTTCACATGACTGTAGGAGAGGGGCTGTCCAAACTTTAAAACGGAATCATAAGTACCTTTTGGAAGGTTTATCATAATTTCAAATGACAGCTAAACAACCGATCATAAGTTGAGAGTTATCTGTATGCTTCCTTTTTTTCAATCAATCGATCCAACTTAGCCCATTATTGGTTTTCAATATTCAAATATGCCTCAAGGCTGATGGACGCTACACAGCTTCCTGTCCTACCTGCAATGTTAGAACAATAGGCTATGTTGATATGAAAAAGATATTTTAAAGATAAGTTGATGTTTTTACACATACACACAAATTCCAGGCTATAGCACGAACTCATTTTACTGCAGCCTCTCATTTCTGGGTGGAAATACAAAGCTGTACTATAAATCTAAAGCCCTGCCATTATTTTTGTGGACAACTTGCATTTCTGCCAAGGAAGAAAAAAAATTAGAAGAAATCAAGAAGTTTCATTTTTAAACAAATGGATTATTATTTCTCCAGGCTTAGTCGAGATCTATTTACAGTATTCACAAAATCGTGTCTTGTGTCTTGTTTCCTGAAGGAAAAGAAAAATTTCATAACGTCGTGACAGACAACATTCCAGGCAACTATGTAAGAAATTTTTGAATTAGGATTAATCCCTACCCCAAAATAGATTTATATTATAATTCTCTATAGGACTTGTGTAATAGTTAATAGAAAGATATAGAAATAGAAAATAGTTGGAAGAAATTAAATCTGATGAAATAGTGCACATGTTTAACAAGGCGGTTTTAATTATTGCCATTTCCATTAAAATCTAGAAAGACATGCAAATAAAAAAAAGGAACACATGCTAGAAATGGGATCTACATTCCCTCTTGTCTTTAATATCTTAACAAAGAATGCCCAACACATTCCATTTTTCCTCACAATCGTAAGAACTGGAAAACACTTGAAGTGGCATACAGGTATGTGTATATGTACATGCATCTGTGTGTGTTTCTCCCCTGCACCAACACTCACAAGCAAAAATTGTTTGTTAGGTTTCAAAATCCAGCTTAAAATAATCATAGCCACTAAGATATAATCCATTACTTCCAGTGTTTGCAATGTCCAAAATGTCTATCATGGTCACCTAGAGTTCTTCGAAACTATAACTTGTTATTCCATCACACTAGGGTTTTTTTGTTTGTTTTTTTAAACCACTTTGGTTTTGTATGTTTAAAACAGTAGTTCTCAACCTTTTTAATGCCGCGACCCCCAACCGATCGTAAGTCAAGGACTACCCAACCGGTCGTAAGTCAAGAACTACCCAACCGGTCGTAAGTCGAGGACTTTCCCTGCCCAGGAGTGCCACGCATGCGTGGTGCTGCCCCCTGCGCCGGCCGAGGCGTGGCTGGCAAGCGGCAGAGACGGCACAGCTGGCTCAGCCCAAGGGAGATAAGGCACCCGCCGGGCCCCACGTGCGCCAGCAACCTTCCCTGCGCCCGCCGGCCTGCCACCTCCCACCCCTGGCCCTCTTTTACTTACATTTTTAGTAGTTGCTCAGCAGGGAGGGTGGAAGCTTCCAGACAGCTCGCCTTCGCTGCAGACAACTTGCAGCACGTTTGCAGAATGGGACTTTTGGCGGGCTCAGCAGGGCAGAGACAGCCTGGACAATTCCTATTGGCTTTTGAAAGCCAATAGAATTAGACTCTATTCAAGAGAGTCTATTCTATTGGCTTTCAAAAGCCAATAGAATAAAAGGGAGTAGCACAGCTAAGGAAAAGGGGGAAAAAATGGCGGACTGCGTTATTTGGCGGCCCCCCGTGAAATGGTCGTTCGACCCCAAATGGGGTCCCGACCCACAGGTTGAGAACCACTGCTTTAGGGCCTTTCTCTCCCCTACTGGTAAGACGTGGCGTCGTTTGTGGCCCATGAGTAGCCCTGTGACTCGCTGCCTTATGGAGTTCTTTTCTGCATCGCTGATAACTACGCCTTGTATTGTGGGTTCCATGGCTGCGATAAAATCAATGGGTTGAGCATCCATCAGATTGAGGCCCGTGTCCCATTGTAGAATATATTCTATTCCCAACAGAGTTAGTGGAAAATGGACATAAGGAAAGAGATTGAGGAAACCACCTGGAATAGTTAAAAGAATTAAGTTACTATATTGAGAATGTGAAATTATGCCAAAG